CAGTCACATTCTTCAGTTCAAGGGTCACTATCATCGTTGGTTTGTGTAAGGCCCATCTCCCCCTCCATTTAATATTAATCCATTTACTTCTTCCCATTTATCCCCATTTATTACTCCTTTTCTTTCCCATAAACAGCCATTTTACTATGTTTAATGCATGCATTTTTTATGTATATGTCTGAGTACAAGATGTTATACTTATGTGTACATGTGTTTTTCTCTTTTTTTTAAACATCTTTATTGGAGTATATTTGCTTTACAACGGTGTGTTAGTTTCTGCTTTATAACAAAGTGAATCAGCTATAGTGTACATGTATTTTTAATATACATAAATAGAATTGTGTTATAGAGCTCATTGCTTTTTCCTCTCAGAATTGTTTTTTTTTTGTTTGTTTTGTTTATTTTTGGCTGTATTGGGTCTTCGATGCTGCACACGCACTTTTCTCTAGTTGTGGCGAGCGGGGGCTACTCTTCGTTGCGGTGCATGGGCTTCTCATTGCGGTGGCTTCTCTTGTTGCGGAGCATGGGCTCTAGGCGCACGGGCTTCAGTAGTTGTGGCTTGCAGGCTCAGTAGTTGTGGCTCGTGGGCTCTAGAGCGCAGGCTCAGTAGCTGTGGTGCACGGGCTTAGTTGCTCCGTGGCATGTGGGATCTTCCCAGGCCAGGGCTTGAACCCGTGTCCCCTGCATTGGCAGGTGGATTCTTAACCACTGTGCCACCAGGGAAGCCCTCAGAATTGTTTTTAAAAGTTACCTGTGATGCTAAATGAACACCTAGTCTATTGCTGTTAAAACTGCTCCATTGTGTACATCCACAACATTTTACTTATCCAGTTCCTCAGTGCTGGACACCTGGGGTGCCTCCAACTTCGCAACACCATGAATAATGAATGTCTTTATATTATTTATCTATTACTGAACAATAAGCTACTCTAAAATTTAGAAGTTTAAAACAACATTGTTTCAATACCATATGATATCACTTATATGCAGAATCTAAAATAGGACACAAATGAACTTATCTATAAGACAGAAACAGACTCACAGACATAAAGAACAGACATGTGGTTCCTAAGGGCATGGGGTTTGGGGGAGGGATGGAGTCGGAGTTTGGGGTTAGCAGATGCAAACTACTATATACAGAATGGATAAACGACAAGGTCCTACTGTACAGCACAGGGAACTCTATTCAGTATCCTGTGATAAACCATATGGAAAAGGATATAAAGAAGAATATATATGTATAACTGAGTCACTTTGCTGTACAGCAGAAATTAACACAACATTGTAAATCAACTATACTTCAATAAAAACAAAACAAAACGTTGTTTCACAGTTTTTTAGTATCAGGAATCAGGGTACTGTGTAGCTTGGTGCCTCTGACTCAAGTGTCTCATGAGGTTGTAGTTGATCTTATGGCTGGGGCTGTGGTCTCATCTGAAGGCTCAACTAGGAAGGACCTGCTTCCTGGACTTCTTACTTGGCTGTTGGCAGGATTCAATTTCTCTAGGGCTGTTGGACTCAGTTCCTTACTGGCTGTTGACTGGAGGCCTTCCATAGTCCTTTGCAAGGTGTACTTCTCTGTATGTCAGCCCACAACAAGGCAGCTGGCTTCCCTTGGAGAAAGCAAACAGAAGAGCAAGAGCAGGTGCCCAACACAAGCCACGGTTGTTTTGTAAGCCAGTCTCCTCTCAGAAGTGGCATGCTTTCACTTTTACTGTATTCTCTTCTATGCAAGTCTCTAGGTCCATCCTACACTCAAGGGGAGGCAATTACACAAGACATGAATAACAGGAAGCAGGGATTATTGAGGGTCATTTTGGAGGTTTGCTTACCACAGTCCTCAGACATATTTCTGTGAATTTTTCTTTGGCATATACATATACTGGGTTATAAATTGTTCTCTAAAATAACTGTGTTGGTTAATATTACTATCAGCAGTACATGAGGGTTTATATATCATTATGTACCTGCCAATACTTTACATTTTCTACGACATCAAGGGATATTACACTGTTTTAAACAGACTGTTTTTTATCTTTTGCTCTTTTTTTTCCTAGTGAAGTTCTTGGCTTTTTCTTGGCTTTTTGCGGGAGTTGCTTGTAATATTCTAGATATTAGTTCTTTGTTCTTCTTCCATTTTATCATCTGCCAGTTAACTTTGTTCAGGGTTTCATTTGTTGAGCAATAATCTTTAATTTTGATGTAATTAAATGCTTTTATTTATTTACTTTATGCTTTGTGCTCTTAGGCTTTTATTTGAGAAGTCCCTTCTTGTGCTTATGTTACAAACTTATCATTGTACATTTTCTTCTATTAATTTTAGTGTTGCCATTCACATCCAAGTGAATGTAGGTCTTTAATTCTTCTGTAGTCGGTCTTTGAATATGTTGTAAGATAGGGAGCCATCATTATTTTTCTTTATGAAATAAGCCAGTTTTTCCCAGCACCATCTTCTGTACAATCTGTTCTCCATTGATTTATAAATCCGTTTTATTGTATGTTTCCATAGAAACATAGGTTTGACCTGTGTTTCAGTTCTCAGTTGAGTTTCATTGGTTTGTCTAATATTTTTGTGTGTGCTTGCAAATACCATACCATTTTTATTGCCACAGCTGTGTAACATGGCTTGATATCTGGTAAAGGAAGTCCCTCTCTTCACTTTTCAGTTTCAAGATTGACTTGGCTATATGTTTATTCTTTCATAAAAATGTCAGTTTATGAAGTTTCTGAAAAAAACTCAATGAGAATTTTGGTTGTGATTAAGATTAATTTGTGTAGAATTATCTTCATGGTATTTAGTCATTCCATTCAGATCATCCTGTTTGCCCTTTAATGTTTTAATACTAATAAGTGGATGCTGGGCAGCAAAATGAATAGAAGATATCCTCTAAGTCAGTCAACAGCATCCTGGATCCTTTTTTCATGAAATTCCTTTTACATTTTTGTTGCAAAGAGTATTCCTTTTGTATTAGGATCGTGTATTATATGGCCTCAACATATTTCTTCCTTTTTGCTGTTCTGAGTTATGTATGCCTGGTACACTATGCTGATGACTGTTCAGGAAGTCCTAGTTAGTTCCAGTCAAAATCAGAGCAATAAAGATCCCTCCCATTTGTGATGTTGTTTGGTCCAATTTATTTTGAAGGAGAACAGCCCTCTGTTCTAAATCTACATTCTTTCATTAAAGTTGTCAGACATAGTATTTATTAATAGTCATAGTTTTAAGGTTTTTTTGCGGTACACGGGCCTCTCACTGTTGTGGCCTCTCCCGTTGCGGAGCACAGGCTCCGGACGCGCAGGCTCAGTGGCCATGGCTCATGGGCCTAGCCGCTCCGCGGCATGTGGGATCTTCCGGAACTGGGGCACAACCCGTGTCCCCTGCATCAGCAGGCGGACTTTCAACCACTGCGCCACCAGGGAGGCCCCATAGTTTTTAGTTTAAACAGATTAAAGCAGTTTCTTCCTGGATCAGGAACCTAGTGTAAGATGTTAAATTGTAAACCACTGCTGTTTTTTTTTTGTTTTTTTTTTTAATTATTGATGCAATGACTAAATGCATTAACAAGTGCACTGGAGGTAGTCACCTACCTAGATAGCATGTACTGTGGCAAGATACTTGTTCTTCAGTATTTGGCTTTAAGCCAACTGAAAAGCCTAGCAAATTGACTACAGAGTATGGATTCCTGACAGGCATAGGCTGTATGAATAAATGATGATTGTGATTCAAAATCCTTTGGGTTTTGAGCACCCAAATCATCATTATTGAAGAATTAATGAATCCTGATACAACACATCAGGGTTGTTTTTCATTCAATTCAAGAAATAAGTACAAATGTAAGATGTGCCTTTTATGTGGTTAATATTTTACAACAATAATTATGGAAATTTCAGGAAAGAGAATTGTTCTACAGTATTAGATTTCTGAGTAGAAATGAGATTTATTCGTTACATAATATCATTTACACGGGTCTCTTGTGTTTTGTTTTGTATACTTTGCTTTTAAAAGATATTTCATCAGCAAAATCACTCTGTAAATATCTGGTAGAATTAAAACTTAAAAATCTGGTAAGCTTCTCCATTTCTAGAATCAAGTCCTCTTTAATTTGTTTGCTGAGCTTCATTTAAGTAGGTGTTCAGTATTTTTCTTTGGGCTTTCCATGAATATTTCAGATCTGTAAAAATAGCTGATATTCTTTTGGAGCTGTTACTCTTTTTGTTGTGCTGTTGAGATTTTCACCTTCCTGGGCTAACATGTTACTGTTCCCCATGATAATTGTGTTTAAACTTTTGCAATAATTGAAGATTTCTTGATGCATTTGTTCCTGTTCGTGCTCAGCCAAAATTTTGTTTCCTTTTTATTTGTTCTAAGATTTGTTTCTAAAAGGGATTAATGATCTTCGGAGGACAATGGTAGTCCTTCATAAAAGAAATACGCTTAATAAAACAGGAACAATTTGTTTACTATTCATATTTTGCTGAGCAGGCAGAGTTGGCCTTGAGAAAGTAGACACTTAGAGATAGAAGATCTAGGGTATACCATAGTTCTTACTGTAAAGTTATTATCAACTCAAAAAGACACTGTTGTCTTCCCTACACTGTGACTTCTTTTCAGTTTTACAATCTGAATATTTGTTTCTGTGTTATAACTAAACAGGGAATGAACATAAGGGCTTTAGAGTGGACCTTCGAAGTAGAACACTGCTGGTAACTGTTTCCATTATACACTAATGTATTGATACTTGTCATTCATTAGTAGATGGGACCTGGCAAATAGGAAAGTAATGGGATATTTGACCCAAGTACAAAAACTAATGACAAGGAACGGTTTCATATTTTTGTTTGACTTAATTTTTATGTTAAACATACTAGTATTTTTTAATAACCTGGAAGCATATTGAATATTTTGATTTGAGTTTTTAAACGTGTAGTTTATTTAGAAAAGAGCAATATCTTAATCTTCCAAAGTGATCATTATTCTGATTTGTTTCCTATTTTTCCAGAGATATTACATATGAAATATCAGTAGAAGCTGTGTCAACAATGGTGGTCTTCCTTTCCTGCCAACTCTTCCACAAGGAAGTTTTGCGACAGAGCATCAGTCACAAGTATTTGATGCGAGGTCGATGGTATGTTTCTATTTTAAATTTGTCAAGTTTTTTATTGAATTAATCTATAGTTCTCGTCCTCTTTCCTTAGTGTTGTTCCATATCTCCAACCAGACATTTCCTCTGGTTGTTCTGTCAGAACTTCAAACCCAACACATAAGGATCTGCTTTCCTGTCTAAACTATCCATCCTCCCTGCCCCTTTCATCCCCTAGCTTCATTACCTTCTCTAGTGGTTTCTTTGTAGAGTTGAAACTTTGAAGCCATGTTTTCTTCCTTCTGCATCATTCTCTATGTCTAAGCATTCATCCAGTCATATTTGTTCATTGAAATTATTTGTATCTTCCCCTTCCCACCAGTCCCATTGAAACGACTACTGCAGTGGATGCCCCGTCACCATGTGTTTGGACTTCACCAGCAGCCACTTAACTGACTGTTCCTACTTTCATGTAGTCAACAAATGTTTATTGTGTGCTAACCATGTGCCAGGCATGTGTTAGGATGTGGAGCTGTGCTCCTGAGCAGAGCAGAAGCTTACAGTCTCCTGGTGGGTAGGGACAGGAGTAGATAAATATTAAACACACACACACACACACACACAGAGAGAGAGAGAGAGAGAGAGAGAGAAGCACCTTTGTCTTTTTCACATCCCTCTTGCTACCTTGATTATACTTGTGGCACATTCACAGAATCCTTTAGAGCTCTTTTAGAACATATTTGAAAATCACTGATAATAGGGATAAAAGGCCTTAAGCGTTGGCTGAAGAGTCTATTCAAAAGTTTTCTCCAGATTGCAGGAATTGATTTATCACCAATTTGTGGACACATATCCCTTTTAACCTGTTTTCTCTGCCTTCTCCTCTCATTCTGTTACTTAAAAAGCAAAGGGTATTAACATTAAAAGAAATCTGTATATATATGGATATGTTTTTTATATGTATGCATAGATTGAATAACTTCATACTTTTATTTTAAACAATGTAAGATATTTAACAATTATTATATTATATGTTGAATATTTTGGATATATTGGGTTAAGTCAAATAAATATACTATTCAGGTCAGTTTCCATACTTTTAAATTCTTGCGTTTTCCTACTGACTCTGTGTTACTACCTCCCTTCAAATGCCAAGTACTGTATTATACACTGAATTTATAATATTTCACCTGTTATACAGATTACAAATAAGGTAACTGAAGCTTAGGAGTTGAAGCGATTTGATGAATGACATACAGCATAGTAAGAGGAAAGCCAGATTTAAGCCTCAAGTCTGATCTCAAAGCCCATGGTCTTCACTGTTGTGACAGTGCCAGATTTCTTTGAATTGTGCTAATCCCTTTTATGTCGGTAGATTATATAGGTTATATTTATCACGATACAAAGTCAGTTGACTCCCCCAAATCTGAGTTTATTTTCTTCTTTTTTCTTTTTGTGTAGCCTCCCATATACCAGCAAACTTGTAAAGACCTTGTTGTATAACTTCATCAGGCAAGAAAAGCCGCCTCCTCCAGGAGCACACGTTTTCCCTCAGCAGTCAGATGCGGGAGGGCTGCTGTATGGACTGGCATCAGGAGTAGCAAGTAAGTCTTACCAGATTTTGTCAGGTCTTTGTTATACGTAGGTTTTGCCCAGTTAGTCATAAGAAATTCTGTTCAGTTGGCTGCCGCTACTAACTATTATATTGCATCTGTGCAGCTGGTTAAATGTGTGAAATATTGGAAATAATTTAAAATATTTTTTCCATTTGGTGCACTGATGTATACAAGGAAATATATGCAAATCATGAATAGATTGTTTACCTATAAGAGGACATTTTTCAAGAAGAATATTTATAAATATGCATATTGCATGCATTCTAGCTGTACAATATAAATACAGTCATGCTCTTGGGAACTTTTTACCGCTTGTGTTTTATGAGGAAATTATTCTATTTTAGGGGCTTTCTTGGTTAGGATTTTACGTGACTAATTAGGTATGGTTTTCTTATTATACTCAATGTTTCATTTGTTCGGTGACAAATTAGCACATTTTGAAGAGTCTTGTAATAAATTCTGAAGTGGCACAAATGTGAGTTTTATCAGATTGGAAGCAAATTTCATTAACTGCACAAAGTCCTTTCCCACCATCCAGTAAAGCCTCATTTCTACTTCACAGCGTTTAGACCTAAAGAGACCAGAAATACAAGAGGACCTGGGTCATGTGAGGTTACGTCAACTGAACTTGTGCTTTGTTCTGAAGGAGAAACAAAAACTAGACTGGCACTTTGGCAGTTGTAAGGTCTGCCTGGGTGCTCTTACTAAAGAAACAGTATACGGTCTGCTTAATTACATAGTGCGGAGTTCAGCTGTCTGAAGGAATTTTAAATGGGGCTGAGTTCCACAGCTGAATTAGGCTGGGACGTGCTCTCCACACTCAGGCAGGGGCGTCAGTTTGTTAGGAAAATGGAGCACTGTGTGATAATTTATGGGATGAGGAGTCTCAGGAACCTCTTTGGATGAGAAGACCTCTGTTCTAGGTTTACCTTCCTTTGATTTCTTTCAATGTTATGAGTTGAATTACATTTGTAATCGCTCATGGCTGTGTCTTTGGTGCTGAGTATGCTCCCTAGCCCACCAGACCTGCAGAGGTTCATTCTCCGAGTCACCCCTCCCATTGCCCTCATTGTTTCCGATGAGGGGGCTGTACAAGGCTTGCTCATGTTCGGCCTCTGAAGGCAGCACAGGAATCCTGTGTGCCTGTGGGAATCGGGTGTCCTGTGGGAAGACTTGATTAATCCATTAGTGTTTCCTTTTTTCAGTCATTAAACTGGTGTAAGTATTCAAAAGCTGAGTATTTTCCCATTCTCCAGTACGGTTGGACATTTTTTTTGGAGGAGGTAGTAGAAGTTCATTACCTGCTTTCTTCAAAACAGTGGCAGTGCTTCAGTTTTTAAAAATACAGACTTGTGTGTAGTTCTTGATTTTTCTTGCAGTTACGTGTCGTCATAAAGAAGTCCAGTGTGGTGTGTGGTGTCATCAGTACCGGGTGCCAAAAAACTTGACTTGCTAACTTTAGATCTACTCTGCGTATCGGAAGGAAGTTCCTTTTCTTAGCTCCCAGTTTCTTTGTCTACCAGATGTCGATCACGGTTGGAATACATGATCTCTGACACTATTTCCACATAATTTTTTTTTTTTTGCCGTATGCGGTCCTCTCACTGCTGTAGCCTCTCTCGTTGCGGAGCACAGGCTCCGGATGCGCAGGCTCAGCGGCCATGGCTCACGGGCCCAGCTGCTCCGTGGCATGTGGGATCTTCCTGGACCGGGGCACGAACCCGTGTCCCCTGCGTCAGCAGGTGGACTCCCAACCACTGCGCCACCAGGGAAGCCCTATTTCGTTCTTTTCATGGCTGAGTAATATTCCATTGTCTGTGTATATTTGTGTGTGTATGTATGTATATATTTATATGTGTATATGTGTGTGTGTATACACACACACACACACACACACACACACATATATATATATATATATCACATCTTCTTTATCCATTCATCTGTTGATGGACAGTAAGGTTGCTTCCATGTCTTGGCTTTTGTAAATGGTGCTGCTTTGAACATTGGTGTGCGTGTATCTTATGATATTATGAATTAGAGCTTTCATCTTTTCTGGATATATGCCCAGTAGTGGGATTGCAGAATCATATGGTAGCTCTATTTTTAGTTTTCTAAGGAACCTCCGTACTGTTCTCCATAGTGGCTGTAGCAATTTACATTCCCACCAACATGTGCTTGTGCTTACACCTTGGAATTTCTAAGCCATTAGATATGAAGTGCGGCCTGGTCATACATATTTTCAGTAAGCATTCTAGATGGTTCTGAAAAAGCTGGTCCATTTCTGCACCACTCTGTGGTGCGGTCCCTTTCCTGTGCTTGCATCTGTTCTGCTGGGCCCATCATGGCAGATAGTTGAGCCAGTTCTCTTAACTGTTGGGGATTACATTGTTTTGAGGCAGCTCTAATGGCTTTAACTGACACTGTCCTTCAGTATTATCTTGCTTTCTCTTCTTGTTACTCTCTTACTGATGAGGTCCAGTTTATCAGAATTTTTTTTTTAATTTATTTTTTTATACAGCAGGTTCTTATTAGTTATCTGTTTTATACATATTAGTGTATGCATGTCAATCCCAATTGCCCAATTCATCCCACCACCCGCACCCCCGCCACTTTCCCCCATTTGAGTGCATACTTTTGTTCTCTACATCTGTGTCTCTATTTCTGCCTGGCAAACTAGTTCATCTGTACCATTTTTCTAGATTCCACATATATGTGTTAATATACGATATTTGTTTTTCTCTTTCTGACTTACTTCACTCTGTACGGCAGTCTCTAGGTCCATCCATGTCTCTACAAATGGCCCAATTTCGTTCATTTTTATGGCTGAGTAATATTCCATTGTATATATGTACCACATCTTCTTTATCCATTTGTCTGTCGATGGGCATTTAAGTTGTTTCCATGACCTGGCTATTGTAAATAGTGCTGCAGTGAACATTGGGGTGCATGTGTCTTTCTGAATTATGGTTTTCTCAGGGTATGTGCCCAGTAGTGGGATTGCTGGGTCATATGGTAATTCTATTTTTAGTTTTTTAAGGAACCTCCATACTGTTCTGCATAGTGGCTGTATCAATTTACATTCCCACCAACAGTGCAAGAGGGTTCCCTTTTCTCCACACCCTCTCCAGCATTTGTTGTTTATAGATTTTCTGATGATGCCCGTTCTGACTGGTGTGAGGTGATACCTCACTGTAGTTTTGATTTGCATTTCTCTAATAATTAGTGATGTTGAGCAGCTTTTCATGTGCCTCTTGGACATCTGTATGTCTTCTTTGGAGAAATGTCTATTTAGGTGTTCTACCCATGTTTGGATTGGGTTGTTTGTTTTTTTTAATATTGAGCTGCATGAGCTGTTTATATATTTTGGAGATTAATCCTTTGTCTGTTGATTCGTTTGCAAATATTTTCTCCCATTCTGAGGGTTGTCTTTTCATCTTGTTTATAGTTCCCTTTGCTATGCAAAAGCTTTTAAGTTTCTTTAGGTACCATTTGTTTATTTTTGTATTTTTTTCTGTTACTCTAGGAGGTGGGTCAAAAAAGATCTTGCTGTGATTTATGTCAAAGGGTGTTCTTCCTATGTTTTCCTCTAAGAGTTTTATAATGTCCAGTCTTACATTTAGGTCTTTAATCCATTCTGAGTTTATTTTTGTGTATGGTGTTAGGGAGTGTTCTAATTTCATTTTTTTCCATGTAACTGTTCAGTTTTCCCAGCACCACTTATTGAAGAGGCTGTCTTTTCTCCATTGTATATCCTTGCCTCCTTTGTCATAGATTAGTTGACCATAGGTGCATGGGTTTATCTCTGGGGTTTCTCTCCTGTTCCATTGATCCATATTTCTGTTTCTGTTCCAGTAACATGTTGTCTTGACTACTGTAGCTTTGTAGTATAATCTGAAGTCAGGGAGTCTGATTCCTCCAGCTCCGCTTTTTTCCCTCGAGATTGCTTTGGTTATTCTGGGTCCTTTGTGTTTCCATACAAATTTTAAGATTTTTTTGTTCTATTTCTGTAAAAAATGTCATTTGTAATTTGATAGGGATTGCATTGAATCTGTAGATTGCTTTGGGTAGTATAGTCATTTTCACAGTGTTGATTCTTCCAATCCAAGAACATGGTACATCTCTCCATCTGTTGGTGACATCTTTGGTTTCTTTCATCAGTGTCTCATAGTTTTCTGAGTACAGGTCTTCTACCTCTTTAGGTAGGTTTATTCCTAGGTATTTTATTCTTTTTGTTGCAGTGGTGAATGGGATTGTTTCCTTAATTTCTCTTTCTGATCTTTCGTTGTTAGTGTATAGGAATGCAAGAGACTTCTGTGCATTAATTTTGTATCCTACAACTGTACCAAATTCATTGATTAGCTCTAGGAGTTTTCTGGTGGTGTCTTTAGGATTATCTATGTATAGTATCATGTCATCCGCAAACAATGGCAGCTTTACTTCTTCTTTTCCAATTTGTATTCCTTTTATTTCTTTTTCTTCTTTGATTGCCGTGGCTAGGACTTCCAAAACTATGTTGAATAAGAGTGGCGAGAGTGGACATCCTTGTCTTGTTCCTGATCTTAGAGGAAATGCTTTCAGTTTTTCACCATTGAGTATGATGTTGGCTGTGGGTTTGTCGTATATGGCCTTTATTATGTTGAGGTAGCTTCCCTCTATGCCCACTTTCTGGAGAGTTTTTATCATAAATAGGTGTTGAATTTTGTCAAAAGCTTTTTCTGCATCTATTGAGATGATCATATGGTTTTTCTCCTTCAATTTGTTAATATGGTGTATCACATTGATTGATTTGCGTATATTGAAGAATCCTTGCACCCCTGGGATAAATCCCACTTGATCGTGGTGTACGATCCTTTTAATGTGCTGTTGGATTCTGTTTGCTAGTATTTTGTTGAGGATTTTTGCATCTATATTTATCAGTGATATTGGTCTGTAATTTTCTTTTTTTGTAGTATCTTTGTCTGGTTCTGGTATCAGGGTGATGGTGG